GAGATCTCTCTCTCTCTCTCTCTCTCTCTCTCTCTCTCTCTCTCTCTCTCTCCCCGTTTATCTATCTTCATGTTCTACCAGAAATGTGTGGGAAGGTGAGAGGTATGTCCTCATTTTCTAAAGTATCTTTTCTATTGGTGCTGGGGCATTAAGTGACCAGGTAAATTATTTAGAAACATAAACAAAACAAAAGTTAAAAGTTAAAATAAACTAAGTTCATGCTACTGGGTAAGAAAGGAGTTATTTTGTTGGGTGAAGAAAATGCTCTTGAACTAGATGGGGGTTGCATAGTAGTTGTATAACTTTGTGTATATACTAAAATAATCACTGCATTGTTTAGGGTGAGTGTTATGCTATGTGAATTGTATCTCAATTTAAAAAACATTACATATACAACATTTTTTCATATTCTTTTTTCTTTTTTTATTAATGGGTAATAAATGTTGGAAGCAGGGAAAAAGCAATGACAAAAGACTATTTGAGTATCTTTTTATTTGTGACATTTATTATTGGTATGTAGCTATCAAGTAAGATAAATGTATGTTATTGCTATCACTAATGCGACTGACTGCTTTTTAGACTCCCAACCAAAATTATTTATAATTGTGAAAAAAAGAATAGTACCTGTTTATTTTTGAAGTGCCTTGTTGTCCATAGCCACTGGAAGGCACTTTCTGGTAGAGTATCTGTCTGTTGGTCAAGTGAGTCTGAGGTTTTAGTCTGGGCATGATTGATTCAATATGATTATAGTTGAGGCATAAGACCTATAGGAAGAATACCTTATTAATAAGATGTTTAAATATGCATGCTGTATATATACATTAGAGATTATCAACATCCTAAAACCTATTATGATGGTATGGATAAAACCTGGATTATACAACATGATTTAATAATATATCAATGTTAAAATGGCATAAATTGTCTGGATTTGGCTTTGAATGTGTTTTTTATAATCTGACTTGTTAGGAAATTACAATATTTCAAACAAAATAATGGAGACCCCAGAAAGCTGCTCAACGTTCTCAATCTGCACCCTTGATATCTCCAAGCCTGATATAGATGAAACAATTCTTTATTTGCAAAGATCACCACTTCCCTATGTTTAAAAGACTTTTGTAGATGGCTCAGCCAAAGCTATAACACAGCTAAAGCTATAATACAGGAGGCAATAAGGCTGTTTTGAGAACCTCCGTGTTCTACAATTTCATTCCATACCCACACTGTAGAGACACCCTTCCATCCCATCTCCTACTGCAGAGTAAGATTTACTGCTTATAAGACAATCACATAAAACTGAGGTCAATCAAGATAATCTTGGAAAGTAATACTTTCTCTTGACTGATGAAAAAAACACTTTAGGAATAATTTCTGTTCTTTAATAACATAAAAATACATTTTACAAAAAATAAAAATACAAAATAAAGAAGATTACAACTTGCACTGAAAATCTTGAAAGAAAAAAATAAAATCTGTGAGTAAGTAACTCACCTTCACATTAGGCAGATAGATCAATCCACTGAATGAGGTAAGATTATTGTTTTGTAGATTCACATTACACACATTTCTAAATTGGTCAACTGGAATCAAATCCACAGTTCTGAATTTAGATAAATACAGTCATAACTTTAATAGGAAAATCATATAGGTGAATCATTCATATACAGTCCCAAAAACATTAAAAGAAAACCTCATCTGACAAGTGCTATGAAAAAAATTGCCTTAATGTAAAATATGTGGGTCAAATAATTGGATAAATACATGTTTTTTGGGGGGACATTTATGTAAGAAAATGACAGAATTTGAATGCTTTAAAACCCATGTCTATTACCACATAAACATAGCGCTATCACAAAAGAAACTTTTAAAATAAGCATCTCTATTTCTTTATAAATTTACATACATGTTCATGAAATTGTAGTGAAGTTGATATAGTAAATCAAAGATTTTCAGGTTATAATCTGCAGAGGATATATGTGAAACACATTATTTCTGAAATTTCAGGAAGAGTTTAGAGATGGGAAAGAAAAGTGGAAAGAAAGCAGGTGAGGTCTTTGAAAAAAGAGTTTTCTATGCAATCTCCTGAAAACTTTTATGGCATTCCACCCTGTAAGAATGCTTTGGTAGTTAAAAACAATGTTTGATTCCTAGTCCATGGCTTTCCTGGTCCTTTGAGTCATGATAGAGAAGAGTATAAAGCTAAATTATCTTACCCTAACTACTTTTTAAAACAAATCCTAAAACCTGTAGTTATAATTATGACATACTTTTGTCCTTTAATAAGTCATTCATTCAACATATTTTAATTAGTATTTTCTAAGTGCAGACAATGTATTTGGAAAAGCTATAACAAATATGAAAACATACTGTCTCTGTCCTCATGAAATGGGGTCCAGAAAATTAAAATTTAGAAAATGATATAATAGAGTTAGATGTAATGGAATATTAGGGAGAAAAAAACCTATCTGGGGAAGTCAGTAGTGACTTCACAGTGGAGAAAGACCTTAAAATGAGCCTTAGAGAATTTACAAGCATTTATCAGGCAAATTACTGAAAGATTTCCACCTAGTGGAATAAGCATAAGCAAAGGCAGAAACATGAAACAGTATCTTGTAATTAAGATTAAGAAACTAAAATATTTTAGAATTTCTGGAGTAAATAAAGAGTAATGGGCAGTAGAGGTAAGGGTTACAAGAGATAGAAACAGAAAGAGTCTTCTATGCCATACAAAGGGATTTTATGTTTACTGTAAGCAGTGGAAAGCCACTGAACAATGTTGAGAAGGGAAGTGATCTGATAAAACTTGCATCTTGGATGATGGTATGGATTTGCAGGAAAGGTTATATAAGATAAAATACCAAAACTATCATCAAGAGTTTCTAAAATAGTTCATTTCCCAACCTCGGCCAAAGGTGCTGACTATGGAAAGAAGAGGGAAATTATGAGACAAACTTATAATTATGGAGACTGTAGAGTGTGGTGATCAATTACTAATGGAGGACAAAGGAGAGAGAAATGACCTTTAGATTTTTGGCTCAGGGAACAACAGGTGGATACTGTCTTCTAGATGCTTTCTAAAAAGGAACTGAATTTTCAAGTAAAGAGCTAAGGTTTTGGCTAAATTTAAAGGATAATCATCATAAATTAAAACTATAGCTAAAGATCTCTGTCTGTGAAGAGTGCAGAGTAAGAAAAAGGAGAGAAAAGGATTTATTTGCCAGGAGGACAGTGAAAAGAAGAGCATCAGAAGAATGGTAGCAGTAGAAGTCAGATTTCACCGGGTTAAAGTCATATGTGAGGAGCAAACCTAGTACATTCTAATTTTAAAGTTTGGTGATTAGAGAAGAAAGAAATAGAAGGTCTTAGATTGCTGACATTTTAAATCATAGGGTGTGGTAATGCACTTCAACGAGTTGTGAAATTAGCATGAGATTTTGAAGTAGAGAAGATGATTTTCTGAATTATTGGTTATATTTCAATAATATGAATAAAAAACTTACTCAGATAATAATAATTGCATATTTAATTATGATATCAAGAAGTATGTAATAAAATGATTGCACCTGATGGATGATGAAGTCCAATTGAGTTCTTGCATTTGGGTGAAGTTTGAATGTCCTTGTCTTTCTGCAATCATGTCAGAAGTAAGTCTGCCACCAAACAAGTCTTTTGCACACTCAGTCTCTGGTGGTTCCTATATATAAGGACATTTAGAAAGTGGTGTCTTCTCTTACAGATGACTAAATGACATTAATTCTTTTTAGGTCAAAATGGAGGGGACTCATTTCTCCCTATACCTCCTACTAAATACAGCAAAAACTCCTATACGTTATTTATATAAAATAAATGTAAGGAGACTGAAAGGTGCAGAGAAGAAGGCAGACCAGCTAGGGACCTTGGGACCTGAGGAATGGGATGCTGTGGTGAGTCTGCTGGTCTATTGCTGTGATTTATCATAAGAAATATATATTTGGCCTTTATCCACTGTTCTGGCCTGGCCATATAGTTAGGCAGAAGAGCAATGGAAAACTGGCCTATTACAAGATGCCCATATGGGGCATGGCCCTATGGAAATTTGAGGAGTACATTAAAGTAGGACACATTGATGCCCATCAGTACTCTCTTCCAGGTTTGAAAGGTAATTGGATTTGACAAGCAGATATCCCCATATGCTCACTTAAAGTGGCCACCTGGGTTTGTGAAATAGGTGAATACTGGGAGTCTACAGCAGTGTGGAGATGGGCTTAATCTAGACATCTTTCTCTTGCACCCTCTGAGGCACAGAATACCAATAAGAACTGTTTTGTCTGCCAGCAAAAGGGACAGAGACTACAGATGCCCATGTGGCAGATTTCCCTGGCGGGAAGACCTTGAACAAACCTGGCAAGTCAGACTCATTCTGGTAGCCCTGCAGGGCTACAAAAGAGTCTTGACAGAAATAGGTACTGACTCTAGACTGGGTTTTGCTTACCCAGTGGTAAATGCAAATGCTCAGAGTGCTGCAAAAGAACAGAGACAGAAGATAGCATGCTAATTTAGACAGCTGACTATTCTTTCTTCAGACCAAGGAGCACACTTGACAGCTCATAATGTCCAACAGTGGCCAGTAAGATATCCTACTCAAGAGTAATAGCTTGATAGAGAATTGGAATGGGCAGTTAAAACCTCTGTTGTCTAAAGCGGGAAGATAAAAGCATGAATGGCTGGTTCACATGCCTTCATGAGAGTGCTCACACTCAGTGTGAACATGAGTGGGGCTAAAGGAATGTCCCCACTGGATAGATTTCTCTGTTTTTTTGGTGTCTCCGGGGAAGGGTGCTGGTATGATTATGCAGTTCTTGCTAAAGGAAGGTGATGCTTGTATACCACTTTCATTTTTATTCTTCCCCACATCACCTAAACTTTTGTTTCCTACCTGAGCAGGGACCATGGCTAGAGATGGATGATTCCTAAGCAAGAAACTATAACTATGATTTTAAACCTTATGTCAGAATTCTTAAGGGCCTGATGGGGATAGGTTTTGTCTTCACCCCATCTGGCAAAGTTGGGGTTAACAGTGAATGTTAGCTATATTATCTTGGGGGCAAAAATAGCTCACCTGCACCTGTATAATCTCACCCCATCTGACTGATGGGGAGGCACTTGCTAGACTAATATTATTGTCTGCAATCTAGACCAGCACCTTTGGAAAGGTGGAAATGTTTGGGTGTAAATGTAGAGAAGGAGAAATAGTAGTTATGGGCTAAGAAATTAATAAATAAGTTATATAATGAGGGAAATCCAATGTTACATTAACACTTCAAAAGAGGCTCAGAGAAAGAGATGATATTCTCTCTTTTTTTAAAATGTTTATTTATTTTGAGAGAGAGGGAGAGAGAGACAGTGTGTGAGCTGGGAAGGGGCAGAGAGAAAGGGAGAAGGAGAATCCCAAGCAGGCTCCATGCTATTAGCACAGAAGCTGATCCCACGAGCTGCAAGATCATGACCTGAGCCAAAATCGTAAGTCTGATGCTCAACCAACTGAGACACCCAGGTGCTCTGATATTGTCTCCTAATTAATTATATCAGATGCCTGAAAGGGGGAAGCTGTGTTTTCTACCACTCCTGCTTCTGGAATCTGAAAAGGTCTCTGATGGAAGCTTGCAAATCTCAGTGGCCTCACCCTGGGAGACATTTTCATATGGTTATGGATTGGATAATGACCGAATGAGATTATAGTAATATGGTAAAATTTTTAATTTTATGGTCATTTTGCTATAAAAGACTGATTAAAAAGCCAAGGAATGGACAATGATAATGTGATTTATAGTAACAAGTATAGGAGAGCCTTGGTGGCTCAGTCGGTTGAGTGTCCAACTCTTGGTTTTGGCTCAGGTCTTGATCTCAGAGTTTGTGGGATCAAGCCCTACTTGGGGCTCTGCACTGAGCATGGAGACTGCTTCGGATTCTTTCTCTCTCTCTCTCTTTCAAAATAAATATATCAACATTTAAAAATATATAATAACAAATATATATTTGGTCTTCATCCACTGTTCTAGGCAGACAGCTCCTTGTAATTTCCTATATAAGAAATATGGGGGCATTTTTTGCTATAATATTTGGTTTTCTGACATCAGTTCCTGAAATAGCTCCAGAGCCATAAAGGTGAAAGGAGTGTCTTGTTTCACCCACGAGCTCCTTTCAACCACACTTGAGTTCATGTTAAAGGGTATCTTATAGAAAGTCCCTAAGGATGGGGGCTGTTTGCCAGGGGAGCCAACTATAATTAGAGGGCTGGAACTTGCAGCCTCACTCCCTGACTTGTGGAGAAGGGAGAAGGACTAGAGGTTGAATCAGTCACCAATGGCCAATGACTTAATCAGCCATGCCTACATAGTAGAGCCTCCATAAAATCTCCAAAGGAGGGGCCTCAGAAAGTCCAGGTTAGTGAACACGTGGAGGTGCTGGAAAAGTGGTTTGCTCAGAGAGAGCATGGAAGCTCTCTGCCCCCTCCTATATACCTTGCCCTCTGCATCTCTTCTATCTGGTTGTCCCTGAGTTAATTCCTTTCATAATAAATCAGTTATCTAGTAAGCAGTTTTTTCCCTGAGTTCTGTGAGCTGCTGTAGCAAATTAATAAAAGCCAAGGAGGTGGTGATGGGAACCTCCTATTTATAGCCGGTTAGTCAGAAGCTTAGATGCCAGCGTGGACTTGTGATTGGTGTCTGAAGTGGGGGTAGGGACAGCACTGAGGGATTGAGCCCTTAGCTTGTGGGATCTGATCCTATCTTATGGTACATAGTGTCAGAATTCAGATAATTGCCTGTCTGTGGAAAACCCACACATTTGATTCAGAAGTGTTGTGAGTGTGGGAAAGTGTGAGAGTAAAAGAAACACAGACATGGGTTTTCCTTTACATCTGGGTTTTGTTTTTGCCTCTTATACACAAGACTAGGTGCTGGAGAAACCAGAAACCCAGAAATTCTAGCCAGAGAAAACAAAAATTCACATGAATGCCTGTTCTCTATAGTTGAATCTAGGAAAGGGGAAGCCTAACGAGCCAGAAAACTTTTAGACAAGAATGGGTCTACTCCAGCCAAACCGCATGGCATAAATTGTGGTCCATCAACACCTGTAAAAGCAGATGGGAGCACAGACTTCTACTCTTGCCCTAGTGTAATAAGGCACCTCTCTGTCATCCCCTTGCTAAGCGAGTGGGTTGGATCTTCATCCTCTCCCAGCAAATGCACCCCCACACAAGTGTTACTAGAGAATATTTGGGGAGCCTGTTCCACTTCCACACAGTAATAATGGCAGAGGATTTATGAGTCAGTGGAGGCCAATGGGGAGTGTGAGCTTAGCAGATAATAAAGCACCTACCTTCAGATTGTCAACAGAGGCCAAGTGGGGGAACTTGGACTTGTACCTTTCACCTGACAGCAACATCGCCTTCCTTACAGTTTACTAATAACACTGACATACCAGTTTTTCGTTCAAATATATTTGGCTTAAAAATACAACTGTATTTTTCTGGTAAATAGGAAGCTGTTTTTAGGCCCAAGATAATGGTAGAGCTCCAGAACAGATTTTTCTATCCTGTCCCTATACTCTTTATTTTTGTCAGGCATCGAATGCAATGGGTGCAAATGTAAGCAGTATCTTCCCTTTCCTGCCATCTCAAATTTTTAGAAAACATTTGGCTAAAGGAGAATATTTTAAAACCCAGATTAAAAATGTGCTTTAGAGACCTAAGTTTGGGTATCTACTAGTGATAAGGCAATGTTCAAAATGATGATGGCCTGTGGATATATACATGTACAGGCTGGACCAAATGCTGTGAGTCATAAAAACAACCTACAATGGAGATTCCATCCAAAGCTTTCAGTTCTGGAAGATGAAATATTACAAACAACCGGTAGTTTTCTTGATTCCATACAATAATGTTTCCATACATGTTGAGAATGACCAGGTTGCATAAACCCTGTGTAATAAAAACACATATATTTAAAGATACAGCTATGTATCTATGTATCTATCTACCACATACACATACATATCTATATAATATATATATTACTACAATAAGATTCTTCCCCTTAAGAGTTTAACTATCCTTGAATTTTAATATTTGAATTACTGTATCATTTCATAGTGATTACAGTACTTTTAAGTATATGTTTATTGCAAGAGTTATCCTTTCAGCCCAGTAAGTTCTAATTTTGTACAATATTTTGGTGGTATGTCTTATATGATCAGAATCTCTTTCTTTTAGGATATGGCTGCTAAATGTATTATCTATCAGTGGTAAAGTCTTGGAGGGAACTTTGCTAGGTTTAAAAAAATATACTTTGTTTATGGAAGAATGGCTTATTAAATAGTATGAATGTGTGCCTATAGATATAGTGGGAATGAAAAATACTGCCTTCTGATAAGGAATAAAACCCGTCTGCTTCTATATTCTGAGAGAATAGCAGAATTCATCTTAAGAGAAAATATGTTCTTTTAAAATTGTATTTAAAAAATTTTTTTAATATTTTTTATTTCTGAGAGAGAGAGACAGCATGAGTAGGGGTGGGTTAGAGGTAGAGGGAGACACCGAATCTGAAACAGGCTCCAGGCTCTGAGCTAGGTGTCAGCACAGAGCCTGATGCGGGGTTTGAACCCATGAACTGTGAGATCATGACCTGAGCCGAAGTTGGACACTTAACCGACTGAGCCACCCAGGCGCCCCAAGGGAAAATATGTTCTTATGAGAACATTTTGATGTGTCTTTGTTGTGCAGAAAGGGCCCAGAGTAGATGTGGTTGGGAGAGGTTAAGACAAGCCCAAGTAACACTATTCTGCATCACAATGTAAAATGGTCTATTTTGTTGCTGCTACCATTAATTAGGTTGCCTCTGCAGCTTTTGAAGAAGTAGTTATATTTGTGGAATGGGATGGGGAGAAGCCTGAAAGTAAGGAAAGATAGGAAACAGATATAAGTTTTTGGTAGGAGATAAAGTCCTAGTAATATAGTAATCAGCAGAAGGAAAAAGGCCATTGTGAGAGTCCCAGTGGTAGGAAATGGCCATTGAACTTTAGAAAGTTAAGTCACACAATGCATTTGAAGTGAATTCCTATCGTGCTGTAGTAAACCTCCATTTTATTCAAACATTCAATAAAGCCTTCAAAACTTCAGTTATACAGTAGCCTTAGACATTTCTTTGGGAGAATTAAAGAGGACAAAGCTGGGCAAAGTTGGCCAGAAAGAGCTGGGAGTTTCCAGTAAGAAGCAGTAAGTGAGAAGTTATCAAGAATTCTCTGAGAACAGGAAATGTTAAAAACTCTTACTCTCCAACTAGGTTGAGGAATCCTTGGACATACTGAGGAAGGCACTAGTTAGAAGGATGGGGCTTGGGTATTTTGTTTGAGTCCAAAAAAAAAAAAAAATTGCCCTAGTAGATTATCAATTTGGGGACTATATGGTTATATATATGTATGTTTTTATGTATGCATAAATTGAATGCAAATACATTTCACTAAACCTTGTTCTTGATTTTTATTTTCTTTACCTTTTTCTCTATATTTTCCAAATCCTATACACTGAACATACATTATGCTCATAATATAAAGAAACAATACATACTTTAAAAAACAAAAACATTACCACCAGAGATAGTCACCTTTAAATTATAGATCTCCTGATTGAGAGCAATATAGTTATTGCTTATGTATAATTCAATCAGAGTAAAAGCTTTTTGTAAACCACTCAATGAAGTAATTCTGTTGTTCTCAAGAGAAAGGGAGTGGAGATGAAGCATGTTATCAAAAATATGTTTTTCCAGACCATTGAGAAGGTTATTATTTATGCTGAGGCGGGTTAATTTAGTCAGCTTGGAAATGCCTAGAAAAGTAAGCAAATTCAAGAAATGATTCAGATAGCACTGAAAAGTTAGTTTAAAAATAACTGGCTGACCATTTTACTCTTTCTCTTTATAGACTCTATTGTATTAACTGTCATTGTTTTAACTTTTAAGAAGGATATATTGTGTATAAAGTCCCAGCTAATACATTAAATTCCAATTTTGGATTTCTATGTAGACTCAATCTTCCTAGGTATTAAGGGAAGGTATTACATAGGAAATATTGAATTTCACTTTCAAATAACCTTCAAATTATATAATTAAGATTTTCACCATCACAATAACACAAAGCTCAAAATCATCACTAGCTCCCCATTTTAAAACATTAAAGGTAAGGAAGCAGATACAACATTTTGGAAAGTATTCCTCATTGTGGTATCATTTGTATTAAAAAGAACCACTTGGCCGAATTCTACCTTTGCGTGCTTAAAACTACTTTAAGACAGAACTTGAGAAAATGCCACCTCTTACCACAATCTAACCCCTAAGTACGCTATGTATTGTAGGTATTTTGCAGGTAGGATAGTACAAGTTGAAAGATGAGAACTTTGGAGTCAGAGTTGGTTTCAAATGTATAACTACTAGATCTGGGTTCATAAGTATATTATGTAAAACTTTGTAACCTCTTTGCCTCATTTTCCTCATCCATAAAAACAACATACTGAAATCTACCTCTAAGGGGTTATGGAATTAAGTGGAATCGCATTTGAAAAACATCAGTTACAGCTTTTGGCAAATAATTGGTTCTCAGGGCATTTTATCCATGCTGGCCTTCACACCAGCCTTCATCATGGGACTATGCAATGCTGAGAGTGAATCAATTTAGGGCAAGTTAGGATAAAACTATCAGAGCAAAAACCCTTAGATGGATATTAAACTTACCTGTGTCTGGAAAAAGAAGAGAAATATTTGTTAAAGCTTAGTGAGGTAAAACTATCATCTCTGAAAAGTGGGTAATACGGAAAATATAGGTTGGAGGATTCTTCCCTTCAGTGAGCTAATGGGGAGGGGGGGCGGGAATAAAAAGGAAACTAGAAACGAGTTCTCAGTTACACATACAAAGCAAAACTAACCCCCTATTTTATGAGAATGGAAGAGACTAGTGATGGTTCTAAAGAGATATGTCTGAGCTAACCCCAGATTTACTGAATTGAAATCTATAAAGGAGAGGCCTGTGAATCTATATACTCAATAAGTATCCCAAGTGATTTTTATGATCAAGCAAGTTTTAGAAGCAGATTTTTAATAGTCATCAAAATGAAATATAATAACAGTTATACACACTGTTTTTAAGGATATCTAATATTTGCTTTTGCATATGTAATTTTTTGAAATAGAATTTTCTACCTTATGGAAAAGTACACACATGTGCTAAAAATAATCCAGCAATTCAAAAGTGAGTAAAGTATAAAGGAAGTCTCCTTTCTAGCCATGTTTCCAATTCTTACCTTTGCTCCTTGACAAGGACATCCTTGTTAGCAAAATGTACACCCAGAAATATTCTATGTCCAGATAAATGTATTTGTGTGTATTTGTGTGTGTGTGTGTGTGTGTGTGTGTGTATGCCCGTATACCTGACATTAGTAAAGCTGCTTCATTGTACTTTATATGGATCCCTATAAAAGGTCATAGAGTACATTTGATCATTTTCAACTTCTGGTGAGTAGTTTTCATTTTTGTTGAAGTCTTTGAATTTCCAAATGTAATCTTAATTTCATACTTTGAAAAATCAACTGGGCTGCTTTATCTTTTTCAAAAACACCGCATTCATTCACTTTCCCCACTCAGATATTAATTACTGCTTAGTTTGTAATGTGCTAGATTTGGAAAAAGGTGGTCAACACTGGCATAGAGGAGAGAAGAAGGAAGTCAGAGCTAAAAGTCAGCAAGCTGGGCTCATTACATACAGCGACTGGTCACAGATCCCACTAGTAGGTGTTTGGAACACTCTGCCCCAAACCTTCTTGGAACTTCTCTAGACATCTTTCTCCTCAAAATTCTGTCTTCCATTTTATTCCTTTTTGGCTCTTGTTAATTAAACATTCATATTTTAAGATTTTAAAATTCTTAGATACCTTCTATCTTTGAGATACAATTTCCATCTAATGTGAGTTCTTCCAAGTTAACACAGGATTCCAAGCCTTCCATTTTAGTGATATTATTGTTGCTGAATGATGCCCATTTCAAATTTTCCAATTTTTCTAAATTTGTGATTTCAAAAAGATGTTGCCCATCTAAATTTAAAGCAGTTATCTGTAGAATAATTCACATTTTATGTTACTTCTGAATCAGTATCAATAAACTCAATGTTACAAAAAGGCTAATGAAATCACTCAAATGTGGTAAGTAACAGCAAAGGAAATCCTTCAGAGGCTCAGGGGCACCTGGGTGGTTCAGTCCATTAAGCGTCTGACTTTTGCTCAGGTCATGATCTCATGGTTCCTGAGTTCGAGCCCTGCATTGGAGTCTGCATTGCTTGAGATTCACTTTCTCTCTCTCTCCCCCTGCTCTGACCCTTCCCTGCTCACTCTTTCTCACTCAAAATAAATAAACTTAAAAAAAAAAAGAAAAGAATTCCTTCAGGAACTAAAGACATTGTGAAGCTTACAAAAGGATAAAATTTGATAAGATTATAACCCAAAGAGGGATTTATATGGCTTTATGGACACTGCGCTGTGCCAGATTCCCACTGCAGTGAAAGAGTTGTCCCAGCTGCTGGGAGTGATGTGGGCAGAAAGATTTCGTCTGTCAGCTCCTTCAGGGACAGCCTCAGCTGCAGAGCTGCCTTGCCCAAGGCCACGCTCCTTTCCAGGTTGGCCCAAATCCAATGATGGAGGGATATAAAGACCTGCCCATCTCAGCAGGACTTGGGACAAATTTAAAGGGCCATTCTAATTCCAAAACTCGCTGTGGGCTCAGTCAGAGCTGTCACTGGACATACATCACAGCTAAATGTGTCTTTATATTTGGTAATAAAATAATGCCATTGATATCTTCCATTTTCAAGGGTCATCTTCTCTTAACCCAGTCTCAGTCTTTGGCAAGAGGCATAAGGGTGCTCAGTGCAGCCAAAAGAAGCTGTGGGAGCTCTATAACCCGCTCTCTTATCCTTGGCTGAACTGTGACCAGGTCCCCTAGTGTCATGCCAGGATTCTTGATTTCCTTTACCTTGTCACCCAAACTTTTTGCTTGATCTCTCGTTCTGTGCTTTAAAGTTTGCTTGCTTATTTTGAATCATTATCCAAATCTACCCTTCGGTCTTGTAGTGTACATTTACCCTAAATCTCCAGTTCTTTGGTGTCCACCATTAAGGCCTAGTCCCCACGACATTATCACTCATGATTTGACCTCCTTGTTTAATTTTAATTTGGCTCTTCCAGTTTTCTGCTCCTTACCTGTCTGTGTGTCCTCTTTAAGATACATGGACCCAAGGTGATTAAAAATCAATTGAAATTAAGCTTTCATATTAGTTAAATAGAATTCATTTTTACCTTCAAGTACCAGCTTCCATTTAGATGTAAATGTGGCTCCACCTTTGGAATCTGTGTCAGAATTTTGGCAGAAGACCATATACTAAGTATTCGTGGTCTCTCCTCTTTCGTACTAGAATGCCCTAAGAGTGATAACTAATAAAATAAAAACCACATCATGAATAAGGGAAATGGAATATAGAGGTTCATTTATATATAGTTAAAAGTACCTTCTCCTAGATGAGTGGCCCAATGAATAATTTTAAAATATGACATTTTCTTTCCCTTAAAATGCTCTCAATATCTTGATATATTTCACTCTTTTTGTTTTAGCAGACCATTACAAAGTAATAGTTATAAAACTATGAAAATATTGCTGTAATACAAACACCCATCTAATCCATTCATTAAACAAGTTTCAGAGCTAGAGTATTTTTCCCACCCTGGAAACTCCCTGTGCGCCCCATCCTAATCCTTTTCCTATCCTTCCCCTCCAGAGCCGTCACTCACCTCATGTGAATCAATCAATGCTCAGTGATCTCAACTTTTGTATCTACCATTCATTTGCTTTCTTTATAGACCTATGTTTGTGTCTATAAAAAATATACCATTTAGTCTTACGCTTATTAGAACCTTCTGTAAACTGAATATATAAATGTATTCTTCTATGACTTGCTTTTTTGCTTAACATTGTGTTCATGACATTTCATCTAGGCTGCTGCATGTAGCTGCTGTACAGTATTTCCTTACCAAGATGTTCCCATCAATGAACACTGGGGCTGATTGCAGTTTTTCACATTGCAATGTGAAAGATTCTTGACTCTTGCTGCTTCTGTGCAAGAGTTTCTTTGGAGTATACACACTTGCTGGGGAATAGGGTTAACTCTATAATCAGCTCTACTAGATAATGCCAAATTGTTTTCCAAAGTGGTTATACCAGTTGTAACTTTTCAATTTTTTGCTAAAGCTTGATATTGTCAGGCTTTAAAACTTTTGCCAATTGGTGGCTGTAAATCTGTATATCTTGCACTTTTAATGTTCATTTCCTTGAATACTAATGTGATGGAGCATCTTTTCCTGGAACAGATGAATAACTTATAAAGTAGACAAATCCAGTCTTTTATATATATGCTCTTGGTTTCTTGTGTAATAAATTGAAGGTCATAATGATAATCTCTGCTCTTTGCTTCTAAAACATTTTTGATTTTGACTTTGACAATGAAGTCTTAATGCACTTGTCCTAGTGCCTTTTATTGACTAGCCTCCTTGATCTGTAAAGGTAGTTCTGTAATGTACCAAGTTTCCATGTATGTATGTGTATATATTTGGTCTTTATATTCTGTGCTATAGGCCTGTGCCAACTCTACATTGTCTTAAATGATTTTAGTAAGTTTTGATTTCTGGTAGGATAAATCCCCAACTCTTCTTAAAGAGTTAATTACATTTTTGTCAATAAAAAGTTTCTTCCCTTCATTGTGAATGGATCCAAAATTAAACATTCCATTAAGGAATAAACATTCAAATGTCTCACAAGAAGCACATAGCTAGAGAACGAGAGTAAAGATGTTTAGGATGCAGTTACTTTGGCCAAAGTACAGCATTCTTAATCTGGATAATATGGGCATTCCCTGCCCAAGTTCATTAGTTATGTTTTATGTTTTTTCAGCCAGTTAATGTCAATACTAGGTAGGTAATTCACTAAATGCTTTATTAAGGCCTCTAAGCTTACTTTATCCACAGAAAGTTGCTTGTTTTCATGTAGGCTCTAGAAAGGACTCTGGTGAGTGTTCAAGTTGACTAGGAAAAAAAAAAAACAATTGCCCTAGAGGCATTTTTGAGGTAGTATGCAGGGTGAAAAGCCAAACAACCAGTTGGTATTTAAATGAGATACATTTAAACAGGAAAAAAAGTTCAAGTAATATGGTTGTTATATATTGATTTTTATTAGCATGCTAAAAGAGGATCCAAAATCTTAAAAACAATGCAAGATATGGAAAATATAACTTGTAAATTCTAAACAGCACAAGGGATATTAAACAGTGAAATCCAACCTGCGTAATCTTTGTTCCAGTAATAAATTTCATTGCTGCTATTGCTTCTTCTTCAGAAATGAGGAGTCCATCTAAATGGGTGAGAGTCTTTAATCTGCCAATTACACTCAGCCTTAATGTGGCTGGCTTAGGAAAAATAACAAAAAGTTAATTTTTACAAAATATTACATATGTTACGGCATGGAAAGGAGTGTGCTTCTTCATTCCTTCCCATATAATTCAAAGTTATGCATCTCCCACTCTCTTATATATACTTAAAAATAAGGGTTTCACTTAGTTATTCAATAGCTGAAATTAAATTATTTTAAAAAACTAATCTGTTTGAAGCCAGATGACTCTACTCTTATGAAGGAGTGGAAGTCCTATAAGCTGTTGAAAAGTGTGGTGAAAAGTGCTCAGAGAACAACGGCAGTGCCTCCTATTCTTCTAGATCAGGGGTTAGTCAGCTCCTGTGCAAGTCTCTATAGATCTTTAGCCCTTGACATCTAGTTTGGCAATGGGAAGAAAGCTGTACCATGACCAGACACACTCTCTGTCTGCTTTGGCAAAAGAAAACTAACCTTCAATTTTCCTGAGTAAAAAAGTAATACAACAATGTAAACATAGTAATGTGGCCAATTTAACAGAACCAATCATTAGACTCTTTTTAAAATATTGAACCCACTCATATTCATTTTTGAAAAGCAAGGAAAAGATGTTTCTTGGCTTGAGGCTTATTTTCAATACTTGGAGATACTCTTCAATATAATCGTTGAATACTGAAATTTCTTAGCACAAATCTCGGTAATTTTATGACGAGGAAAAATTTCTTTTTATAGCAGAGCATAAGTCTCTGTATGCAGGTTCATCAGGGGAAGTAACAAATTTATCCCTCCCTCTCATAGTCTGTTTTCCTCACTGTATTCTATTATTCTTGGTCCCATGCTTCATTGTAACAGGTTCTAGCACTCTGAACGATATAATCCCTCCCACAGTTTGCAAGTAGCAATGGTATCTAACACTCTTAAAGCCACAATACTCTCAAACTATTAGAGCTCATAAAAAAATCTTTACTTATAGTAACATTAAATTCATTTGATCATTATGCTAAATTCAACTTATGAAATACTTAAAAGAATTCTAGTAAAACAAAGATAGGTTGCCTATTTTTGGCTAATACTGAATAGTAGTGAGAAAATGGCTTTGAAATAAAAATGATTCTTTGCTTTTTTATAAATACATCTGCTGCATACCTTTTGCCACGGATTATGTCTAATATCGAGAGTAAGAAGGCTTGTGGTGTGTTTGCATAATATATTTATTTCATCACCAGACTTTTTCAATTGATTCCAACTCAAGTCTAAGTGCTTGAGTTTCATCAGACCTCTAAATCCCTCCAGGGTTATCACATGGTTATGGCTTGCATCCAAATATTCAAGGTTACACTGCAATACATACAAATAGAAGTGGTGCTAAAAAGGGTCACAGTTTCTATTTACAGAGTTCTTGTCTTTATGATTCACTAAATATTTACATGCTTTTTGGTAATTCTTACAGAAAACCTACACAGTAGATATATTGCAATTATGGTATCAACATATATATTCTTCCAAAGAGCTACAGGTCTTTTATTTGTAGTTCTCAATCCTCACTTCACCCTTGTAACATAGCGAGGCAGTATTTGTTTACCTAGAAAAGAAGGTGAAGAGTAACTGATGGGATAATTTGTCCCTCAAAACAAGGAATTACACTTTTTACTTTCTGGGCTTCTGGTTTATACCATTGAACCCATCGCCTGGTTAAAAAAAGTTCACCTCTAGAGGTAGAAATTTCAGCTCTGGTCCTGATCTCACAGTTTGTGAATTCGAGCCCTGCGTCAGCTCCGCCTTTAGTGTGGAGCCTGCTTGGGATTCTCTCTCTCACTCTCTTTCTGCCTCTCCCTTGCTTGCTCTCTCTTTCTCAAAATGAATAAATAAGCTTTAAAAAAAAAAAAGAGAAATAGCCACTGAAAAACATTGTGTTTCAATTAGATGCACACATAGTCTTACACAAAACAGATTGTATTATAGCAAAATTTGTATACCTTTAACATTCATGCGTCATTAAATATTCTTTAAAATGGTTTTCATGATTGTATAATATTCCAATAAGTGAATAATTAGGATTATTTTAAACATATTACTATGAACATTTATGTGGCTTTTAATTTTTGGCAACACTGCAACTAACATCCATGATCATGATCCTTTAACTGAGACTTTCATATTTTGTCCATTAAAGATTAAAAACAAATATTAATGTTTATTTATTTTTGAGAGAGAGAGACAGAGCACAAGCTGGGGAGGAGCAGAGAGAGGGAGACACAGAACAGAAGCAGGTTCCAGGTTCTGAGCTGTCAGCACAGAGAGCCTGACACTGGGCTCAAGCCCACAAACCGTGAGATCATGACCTGAGCTGAAGTCGGATGCTTAACCAACTGAGCCACCCAGGTGCCCCAAGAAGAGATTTTTTAAAATGGGATTATTATTTTGGACTTCTATATTGTTAAGATATTTTATAAATACTGGCAAATAATTTTCAAGGATGTTTGTACTAGTTTTTTCTTCCAACAGTAGAATATGGGAATGTTCATTTTATTAGATACCCACCAATTCATCTGCCTTATTTTAATTTACATTACTTATTGCCAATAAAGTTGAACATCATTCCATATGTTTTGTATTAGCCATTTTTAAATTTTGTTTTTTGTTTCTTGTATTTCCTGTCTTTAGCCATTTATCTATTCAGATATTCATCTAGTTATTTGTAAGAAGTCTTTAAGACTTCAATTTGTTATTTTTATTTGTTGCAAATGAAATTTTCTTTTAAGGTATGTACTAATTCAGACATAGAACAAAGAAGAGATTAAGGACTTTAAGAAGATATTTTGCAACATATTTTTAAAAATAAAAAGTAATATTACTATAGGTTAAAAATGAGCTTGATTTCTTTGTAGGTAATTCAAACAACTATTTGAATTTGGCACAGAATTAGTCACTGCTATATAAAGCATAATTCATATTGTTGGAAAAGCACTTACTATAGTGGTTCAGGTTGCAAGAGTTGAATGTACAAATCATTAAGATCTTTAAAAAATCCCTGGAAACCAAATAGTGTTACTGACTTTTTATTCTCCTAAGTAAGTGTAGTAAAACAAACGAACATGCAATCATTTGCTATTGCAATTTCTTGAACAGTATTAAGGACATAACCTTAGAACAGTCTTTTTGGCTTTATAAAAATTTACTACATGGGCTGTCTTTTCCCAATTTCATCATAAAAGTGGTAAAACCTTGTCTCAAATTCTAGCACTTACATGCAGACCAGTATTTGGGAACCATACATCATAAAAAGATAACTGTCTTTTTTCCTTGAAAACGGGGATAGGATCTTCATTTTTGTAATCTCAAGATATAAAATGACTCTATGAACTCATAGATACTCAGTATTTTCAATTTTGTGGAAGAGTTTTTTGTCTTAATATTTCTGATGCTCCAGTTTAAATCCTTCTTAAATTACAGTACAGCACAGTCAATTTACAAAGATTAAAATCCACAACACCTTCTTTAACTATTCTTAGGGATAATGGTTCACTCTATAAATATAAATTAGCTCTCTCTAGACATCAAGAACACTTTAACAATAAATTTTTCATTGGAAAAGATAATACAGAAGTATTGCTGTATTCTGTATAAAAAATTAGGCACATAATCTAGATTAAGATTGCAAATAGCCATATATATGGTGGAGCTAGTTTCAGAGAAACAAATTTGTTCTTATTGCTTTTTCTCAGATACTCTTTTCCTGATAGTTCAGGTGAGCGAATGACAAACATGCAGCTTAGGAATTTTTAATTTATCTTGTATGGATGTCTTGTTTAGACTTCTAAAAATGCTATAAAAACCATATAGTGCATATATTTTTTGATCATTAACGAAGCCTGAGTCTTCCATTATATAAACAGTGTTAGGTTGGGTATTTTGATTTACAAGCAAGGCCAGGATGATGAACATTTAGGAACAATATGTTTACTTTCTGCAACCTAGTAGAAGCAGCTTGTAGCATGCAAGGCAGGTATGGAAAACTTCCATGTTAGAGACATGCTTAAGGGAAATAATAGTAAAAGTGAGATGTCTCAAAGGCAAATTAAAAAAACGTACAAGACAATAAGAATGAAGGTGAGGGGCGCCTGGGTGGCTTAGTCAGTAGAGCATCTGACTTCGCTCAGGTCATGAGCTTACAGTTCTTGAGTTCGAGCCCCATGTTGGGCTCTGTGCTAACAGCTTAGAGCCTGGAGCCTACTTTGGATTCTATGTCTCTCTATCTCTGTCCCTCCCCCATGCATGTTCTGCCTCTCTCAAGAATAAATAAACATTAAAGATATTAAAATAAGAATGAAGGTGAGTGATTAAACTAGATCAGAACCTTTTGTAACGCCAAGATAAACATAAATCATATTAAACACACATATAAAACTCATCACTGAAGAATAAAGAGGTGGAAGCAGCATAAGTTTTCAATCTCTCTGAATCCCCACATATAAAACAGAATAAATGGATAAAACCCAAATTCCATGGACAACATTTATAATATAATATAATATTCCAACTAATAAATGAAAAAGAAATGATAGAATAAGAATATTGCCATTTTGTCATCACTGATGAATTAATGGATATAGGCATTAATAATGACTACCAGCATTGAGTCAACCAGACATTATTCGATTCCTACAGTCTTGCCAGAGGAATAGAACTTGAGTCAAATCCAATCTCTGGATGTAGTTGCCAATTTGCAGAAAATATGAAGGGTGGAGGGCATGTAGGATTGTATCATAAGCAAATCAGCAGGGTCCAAACTGTGGGACACTCTTAGGATTGGAAGGTCAAGTATCTCTACAGATAAACTATGGGGAATGGAAAAGGAAAGAAGGAATTATACGAGAAACTATAAATTAAAAAAGACTTCAGCAATTTTTAGAGTGGCAAAAACAATTGTACTAGGTTTGGGATGCACATTTGGGTGATGGAACTATGGGGGGAATGCAGGGAGAGGATTACTGGAAAGGTCAGATAATGATTTCTTAAGAGATAGGGCATATATAGAAGGGACTTATGTTGTAGGTTCCAAAGTTCTATTCCTTGACCTGGGCGCTAGTTACAAGCACATTCACCTTGTAATAATTTTACTAAGCCACATGCTTGAAGTATGTAGTTTTCTGTTTCTGGGTGGGTTTTTTTTTTTGTTTATTTATTATTACTTATTTTGAGAGAGAAAGCCAAAGAGAGAGCAGGCATGTGGGGGAGAGGCAGAGGGATAGGGAGAAAGACAGAATCCTAAGCAGGCTCCACACTGTCAGCATGGAGCCTGATGCAGGGCTTGAACCCATAAACCGTGAGATCATGACCTGAGCCGAAATTAAGTGTCAGATGCTTAACCAACCGAGCTACCCATGTGCCCTTGTATCTGTTTTATTTTATATTAATAAGGTGAAAAAAAGACATGCACAGATTATCTCCTCTCTCTGATCACCCCCCTACCATTCCTGTAGTCATTTTTCAAGACACAGTTATATATCAGACACTGGCTATTTGAGAGGTGTCTCTCTCTCTCTCTCTCTCTCTCTCTCTCTCTCTCTCTCTTTGCTAATCTTAAAATTTGAAAATACCACTTAGGCATATCTGTTCAGTTCTCTTATCTATAAAATAGCCACCGTAGTATTAACCTAATAAGTAGGCTGTGAAACTATGATGTTGAAAGATAATTTTCTATCTAAGAACCACAAAACTATATTGCAAAATACATGTTGGGCAGCTGGCTAAGAACTCACTATCTAAGTGCCTTGCATGACTTAAAAGTTTACTCATCAAATTTTGTGCCTGAGCAAAATTATTATGGCTGTTATGACCTCTGGAACTATTGGCAAATCATCAGAAAAAAAGTTAATAAAAAATGCCGACAATTTACATCTTGGGACCTCTATTAAACTACCTTCTTTTTTTAATGTTTATTTTTGAGAGAGAGATAGACAGGGAGACACAGAATCTGGAGCAGACTCCAGGCTCTGAGCTGTCAGCACAGAGCCCGATGCGGGGCTCGACCTTACAAACCCTGAAATCATGACCTGAGCGGAAGTCAGGCGTTTAACTGACTGAGCCACGCAGGCGCCCCTGTCTTCTTTAATTAGCTGTATATCGAATCCAGACTATCAGGGATTCTATTAAAAAGGACCTCGGGTTACCAAAGGAAACAAGACAGGGGGTTTAGTACTCAAACTTAAGGTCAGTTAGCAAAGTCAGATTTCCTACCAGAGCAGGAGAAGCAGCAATGCAAGGGCTTTGATACGGTTGAAAGCAGGTAGGGAATGAAGAAGAGCTGAGGAGGAGGATGATGTATTCTGAAAAGGTATGTCAGTGACCTGGGATCCAGGGAATCAGGGGATACTGGGTTGGAATTCTAGAGCCACATAGGTGATTATTTTTGTTATATGATATATAACAAAGAAAACAAATGCCAGACAAAATGCTTAACTATGTGTACATGTGCATCACTGTATTTGTCCTATGATCTGTGAAAGAGTGAACACAAGCTCAAGAAGGTCCATGGAGATGACATTCAGGTAGAAAGAACAAGGCAGAAAGAAAGAGAAATAACAAAATGAAAAATGAACAAATGGGAAGAATTGACAGCCTTCGATATGAAGTAGTAAACTACAAAATGAAGAAATAAGGACTCAGGAGCAGAAAAATAAGAATGAGAAAACACTGGAAATGACAATTTCCAAAAGACATTTTAAAAACAAGTCTGGGGTAGTTTTAATAAATTCATTTGGTTTGCAAATGGGATCTGAATCTAAGACCTATTTTAGACAAGGCAACATATCATTATGTATGTTTGTTTATACTTTGAGCTGTATAATCCTGAATATGGTATATTTGAGGTCATAATTACAAAATAATTTATTAAATTAATAATTTTATTCTACTTAAGTAATTTCAAAAGGGCAGTTCTTACCAAGTGATATACATCATCTAAACAGGTAAATTCATTAAAGCTGATAGTAAGTTTTCGAAGTTCTGTTAACTTGGAGAGATCTCTCAATTTACTCAAGCTGTTTCCATGTAGATTCAGACTCTGAAATAAAATGAAATGTACAATAAAAAAATAAGGCAGATTACATTCTATATCATAGTTATTTAAATAACATTGAGAGAGAGCCAATAAGAAATATATCTAATGTATGATTTTAAAAGATATACTTTATAATAGCATCACTAGGCCCTGTTATTGATTAATTTGATTTTCCACTTGAGTCTAAAAATTCTTTTTTTGGGGGGGTGGGGGGAAGAGAGGAAGAGCATATGTGCGCATGAGTTGGGGGAGGGGCAGAGAGAGAGAATCTTTTTTTTTTTTACAAATAGTTTATTGTCAAATTAGTTTCCACATAACACTCAGTGCTCATCCCCACAAGTGTCCTCCTCCATGCCCATCCCTCCTCCCCCCCACATCCATCAGTCCTCAGTTTTTGTCAGCATTCAAGAGTCGAGAGAGAGAGAATCTTAAGCAGGCTCTGTGCCCAGCATGGAGCCCAACTTTGGGCTCAATCTCACGACCGTGAAATCATGACCTGAGCTGAAATCAAGAATCAGGCACTTAACTGACTTAAAAATTCTTTCTAGAAAATAGCTAAATACATTGTTAAGATATTTATTAAGGCACTTTATTTCTTAGGCTAGCCAGTGAATAATATAGGCCCTAAAGATTTTGGGTATTGGCTTGGATACCTCACAAGAGAGAAGATGACAAGAAAATACATTGGTTGGAAAAAACCGTATGAAGGCACAGGACTAAGGAAGAAAGGCTGAGGATGCTAACATAGGAGGATACTCAAAAGGAGGAGGCTGGAAAGGGTTTCCATATCAGAGTTTGGCCTAGACTTTCCCTGTCCATTTGATCCTGGGCTAAACAAAAATGAGTGTTATTACAGGGTTTTTTTTTTTATATTTAGGGGATACCCTGATGTCTACATATTTTTCTGTCTTTACCCTACACCACTGTGAATGGTATCAAGTGAAGATTGTATCTTCATATGTTTTAATTATAAACATATTATGGCATAAGAAAAATGTTTTAATGTAATTTAATATAAAAATGTTTTAATATAATTAAAATGTTTTAATATTCACAACAAATCAGTATTATGATAAAATCAACATCTATTTCCCAACTCTCTTTACTTACCACCACCATTTTATACCCTATTATACTGTGGATATAACCAAATTCTTGGCAGGGAGAAACATCAATGTCAAATAGTTGTCAAAACTTAGTTAAAATTGTTAAGAAGGGTCAATTTATGCAGAGTAGCTTATTCTAGAGGTCACATTTCTGTATCACCCATGATACATTCTACAGATACATTACACTAACATGTGCAGACTGAATTCATTATTTTCCATATGCATCTGCTTGGTAGTCTATTTTTTCAATCCTGATTAAGAGTTTCACTATCTATCAAACAGTAATTGTTAACCACCCCTTTTTCCTCTTTTCCATATACATTTGATTCTAGAAATTTTCTTAAACCAACCATCCCATCACTATTTAAAAAAATTTTTTTTAATGTTTTATTTATTTCTGAGAGAGAGAGAGAGAGACAATGTGAGCAGGGGAGAGTCAGAGAGAGAGGAAGACACAGAATCTGAAACAGGCTCCAGGCTCTGAGCTGGCTGTCACCACAGAGCCCGACGCGGGGCTCGAACCCATGAGCCATGAGATCATGACCTGAGCCGAAGTTGGACGCTTAGACTGAGCCACCCAGGTGCCCCAACTATTCCATCACTATTACAAGTACCTTGGTTCACACTATTATTTGTCTTTTGGACTACTACAATAGTATCCACTGGATATCCATACCATCAGCCTGACTTTAGTTATTTAAATCTAAACACAAGTTGCCAAAGTTAGGGTCATTAAAAACACAGGGCCTGTTCCTTAAAGAAAATCTGACATTTTACAATTTGCCTTTGAAAATCCATCCTATTGTGGCTATAGCTACAGCCTTGTGTATCTTTCTTGTATTCCAACCCACAACTTTACCTTCCACTATTACACACCTTATGTTCATAGTCACCTTATGTTCCCTAATAACACTAGGATCTGTCAAAATCATGTGCTTCTAGATAGAGTTTTTCCTCTGCCTGGAAGACATAAACAGCTGAATTTCTCATATCTTTCAAAAATCCACACAAAATTTATCTCTTTCTGTGGAACTCTCCCAGCAGCTCCAAGCTGCCTATATTTGTGTACATATCTGTCTCCTCCACTAAAATGATGTCCTTGAGATAGGGAAAATAATTAATTCATTTTGAACCCCTAATACTTACCTCATTGCCTAAAACATAGCAAATGCTCAGTAAATGATAGTAGATGAATAAATCAGTGCAAAAGCCAGACAAAACTAACAACTCTATTTTTTATTCAGGTATAATGAACATACAGTATTATATTAGTTTCAGGTATATAAGATAGTGATTCACCAATTCCTTACATAGCTCAGTGCTCATCACAATAAGTGTACTCTTAATCCCCTTCATCTATTTCACTCATTCCCTCCCATCCCCCACCTTTCTTTTTTTCTTCTTAAATAGTTTATTGTCAAGTTGGTTTATATATAACACCCAGTGTTCATCCCAAGTGCCCTCCTCCATGCCCATCAACCCCCCCACCTTCATTTCTAAATATTTTATTTATTTTTAGATGTCCTAAAAAACTCAGTCTAGAGGGGAAAACTGAAAAGAAAATAAGAAGTGTATGTGTACCCTTGGTTTCTCTTATAGTAATGACACAAAGGAAGGGGAATAAAGGGCATGATGTCTAAACATTCTTATTGTAGTATCCATTATTCTTACTAGAAGCCCTAGAAGGTTTTTCTGGCTTTTAAGCAGTATATGAAAATTTAGGATGAGAAATTTCTTCCATTCTTATGTTATGGGTGTTGATCAAATTAAGGCAGTCGGGTGGAGGTCATGAGCAAGCCAGGTATTCTGAAGTTTTATTCTCCTCCTCACTGTTTTTTACCTTACAAACCAAAGATAATAAAAAAGATCTACCTTTTTTTATTTTTATTTTTATTTTTTTTAATGTCTTTATTTATTTCTAGGAGAGAGAGAGAGACAGTGTGAGCAGGGGAGGGTCAGAGAGAGAGGGAGTCATAGACTGAAACAGGCTCCAGGCTCTGAGCTGGCAGTCAGCACAGAGCCCGATGCGGGGCTCGAACCCATGAACCGCGAGATCATGACCTAAGCGAAAGTCGGATGCTTAACTAACTAAGCCACCCAGGCACCCCTGATCTACCTTTTTTTAAACTATTGTTTTTCTAACTTTTATTTAATCCCTTTAAATCTACAGAAATGTATGTTGTGGAAGCTCAATGCAGTCAAACTCATGCATTTAAACTTTTCATTACTAAAGCCTTATTATCAAAAATTTATTATAAATAAATAAAATTTATTATGAACTCTTTACCTTATAAGGCAGAAACAATAATTTCTCCATACTGTCAACTCAAATAATGCTCCTAAAATACTGCACCTTTATGATACAGATGGTGATACTGCCATCATATTATGAAGCTTTCCTTCCTCCCTAATAATAATGGGTTAAAGTCAAACTTAATCTTCTAGATTTAAAGATTTGGTGGATGGTGATGACATAGTTGGACCAAAGCAACCCCTTGAAATAAGATGTTTTCTAAATATTTTCTGAAGCCAACTCAAAACTATTGACTACACTTAGTATTTTCAAAAGTATTTTTGGGGCCCCTGGGTGACTCAGTCAATTAAGCATCTGACTCTTGACTTCAGCTCAGATTATAATCTCATGGTTCATGGGATTGATCCCCGCATTAGACTCTGCACTGACATTGCTGAGCCTGCTTGGAAATCTCTCTCTTCCCGTCTCTCTGCCCCTCCACTGCTCATGCTCGCTTGCTCACTCGCTCTCTCTCTCTCAACATAAATAGGAGTGCCTGGGTGGCTCAGTCAGTTAGGCGTCTTACTTCAGCTCAGGTCATGATCTCACAGTTCGTAGGTTCAAGCCCTATGTCGGGCCCTGTGCTGACAGTTGGAGCCTGCTTTGTATTTGTGTCTACCTGTCTCTCTGTCCCCCCCCCCCCCGCTAGTGTTCAGTCTCTCTTTGTCTCTCAAAAATAAATAAATGTTTAGATAAAAAATTAAAATAAAATAAACATTAAATTTTTAAAACATTTTTTCATTGTTTTTGTTTTATAAATCACTTGAAAAAATTTATGAATGTTTATCTGTATCTCAGCTTTCAGGGCACACATAGAAAGATGGTTTCATGTGAGAATAACTTGTCTTCTCAAGTATTCTTATCAGTGTATCAAGCAAATATTAATTTGCTTGCTACTTCTGCAGTTCAAGCAAACCCACTTTGTAAGAACCATTAGCTGTTTGTAAAGATATTGTTTTTATTTTATTTTATTTTTTTAAAGTTTATTTATTTTGAGATAGAGAGGGACAACCAGCAGGGAAGGGGCAGAGACAGTGGGGGACAGAGGATCCGAAATGGCATCTATCCTTTCCTCAAGACACCATTATTTTCAGCTTTTAGAAAATTATCACAATATGCTTATTCTGTTAGCACAAGAAATTCTAGGAACAGCTGTCAGAAAATTGTAGAATATATACTACTCTATGATTTAAAAGGTACCCCTTGGATTTGGCTCTCTTGTAAAATGCACACTGCACCATCATATATTGTTGTCCTGGTACTGGGGATATACATATCGAAGAATGATCATAGCCTCAGCCACTGTGGAATTTACAGTCTAGGAAGGATACAGAGGATAGAACAAAGGAATGTGATGCAGACTGAGAGGTAAGAGAAAACTTTGCTTCTGTATAGATCCAAAAGGTGTGTGAGAATTAACTAAGAGAAAGTGCTCAGGGGAGAACATTCCATGCAGAGGACTAGCAAGTGCAGAGGATCTGTATTGGATACAAGCAGAATCCATTTAAAAAATAGAAAGGAGGCTGAGCATGTAGAACCAAAGAGAGGGTAATATTAAAAGAGTCTGGAAAAGTAGGCCAGGGGCCAGGCCATTCAAAATCTTATAGGCCATATTAAGGACTTTGGTTTTACTTTTAAAACAATGGAAAATCATTTGAAAATTTCAAGTAAGAGTGGTAAGGGGTGACAAGGATATCATGATCAAATCTGCATCTTGAAAAGATTGCTCTAGCTTCAACAGGGAGAATGGATTGGGGGCTCAAAGTGGCAGGACAATACCTCTTTTGTAAAAGCTCTAGATGGCACTCCCTAACCCCCATATTGAGTTATATTCAGTTATGAATGGCACCCAAAGAACACATTAATGTAATGTAATGTGTGTTGCAATGGTAGAATATTATAAGGCTATGGCAGTAGTCTAGGTCAGAGACAATGGTAGTTTGTATAGAATGGTAGCAGATTTGAAATGGACGGATCTGAAAGTCAGGATACAGAGGTAGACTTCATATATCAATAGAGTTGCCTCAATGTAAAGTAAGTTGCTTCAACATAGATCAATGGAACAGAATAGAAAACCTAGAAATGGACGCACGACTATATGGTCAACTAATCTTCAACAAAGCAGGAAAGAATATCCAGTGGGAAACAGTCTCCTCAAAAAATAGTGTTGGGAATACTGGACAGAAACATACAAAAAAATGAAACTGGACCACTTTCTTATACCATACACAAAAATAAATTTAAAATGGATGAAAGACCTCAATGTGAGACAGGAAACCATCAAAACCCAAGAGGAGAACACAAGCATCAGCCTCTTTGACATTGGCTATAGCAACTTTTTACTAGGCATGTCTCCAGAGGCAAGAAAACAAAAGCAAAAATGAACATTGGGGCTTCATCAAGATAAAAATCTTTTGCATAGTAAAGGAAGTAATCAACAGAACAAAAAAGGCAGCCTTCAGAATGGGAGAATATATTTGCAAATGATATATTTGATAAAGGATAAGTATCCAAAATCTATAAAGAACTTGTAAAGCTCAACACCCAAAAAACCAAATAATTCAGTTAAGAAATGGGCAGAAGACATGAAAAGAGATTTTTCTAAAGAAGACATCCAGATGACTAACACACATGAAAAGATGCTCAGCATCGATCATCATCATGGAAATACAAATCCAAAGTACAATGAGTATCATCACTTGTGAGAATGGCTAAAATTAACAACTCAGGAAACAACAGATGTTGGCGAGGATGTGGACAAAGGGGAACCTTCTTACACTGTTGGTGAGAATGAAAACTGGTGCAGCCACTGTGGAAAACAGTATGAAGTCTCCTCAGAAAGATAAATATAGAACTACCCTACAACCCAGCAGTTGCACTAGTAGGTATAAAGGATATAAAAATATTGATTTGAAGGGACATAAACACGTTGATGTTTATAGCAGCACTATTAACAATAGCCAAATTATGGAAAGAGCCAAAATGTTTGATGAATGGATAACGAAGAGGTGGTATATATGTGTATATATACATGTATATATAGTTACATATATAATGGAATATTATAAAAAAGAATGATATCATTTGCAATGATGTGTTTGGAACTAGAGTATTATGTTAAGCAAAATAAGTCAGAGAAAGACAAATGACATATGATTTCACTCATATGTGGAACTTAACAAAACAGATGAACATACAGGGAAAAAGAGGGAGAGAGAGAGAGAAAGAGAGAGAGTGAAGAAAACCATAAAACAGACTCTTAACTTTAGAGAACAAACTGAGGATTGCTGGAAGGGAGGTGAGTGGGGAGATGGGCTAAAGAGATGATGGGTATTAAGGAAGGCACTTGTTATGATGAGTATTGGGTGTTACATGTAAGCCATGAATCACTGAATTCTATTCCTGAAACTAATGTTACACCATATGTTAACTAACTACAATTTAAATAAAAACTTGAAACTAACTAAATAATAAATAAATAATCAAATAAATAAATAAGTAAAGTACTTCAATAGTAAATCCAATTGTTGATTAATTTTGTAAAGATAAATCTCTGATATTCTATGTTGACTAATCCTAGGAACTTATTTGAAACTTAATTATCTTCATCATTTAGAGAAAGCTTATTATTGTTTGTATTATTCAGTAACAAAATCCCTTGTAAACTAGAAGGGTACCCTCTAGGCTTATACTGTCCTGTATGGTAGCTACTAGCAACATGTGGCTATTGAGCACTAATGTGGCTGGTCTGAATTGAAATGTTATGCAAGTGCTGTCATCTGCAAATATACTCCAGGTTTCGAAGACTTAGTATGAAACTGTTTAATGACTCTTCATACTGATTGCATACTGAAATGATAATATTATATACGTATATATTGGATTTGTTAAAATTAATCTTACTTTTAATTTAAAAAATTTTCCTAATATGGCTAATAGAAAATTTTCAATTACCTATATGGTTTACATTATATTACTACCAGACAACACTGATCTGATCTAGTCCACAAAGAAGGAAAGGTCGAAGTACTTTTAACTTAGATGGCATGATGGCTGGCATCACCAGAGAGGTGCTTTAGTATCTTTAAACTTCTTATGATAGATTATGATTCCAAATTCAAGGTTTCTGTCCCCCAATTTTATTCCTTATGATACTTACCACAATATGACTGTAAATGTTAGTGTTGGCAAGAGAAAGTATCATTTTATCATCCAAACTAATAAGTTTTGGTCTGGGCTTGATCCTGGGATCCATTTTAATAACTTCATCATCAAATTTCAAATCCTGGGACAGTAATAATCCTTCTGAAATTTTTTTGCTTTCTTCTAGAATAACATTGTTGAATGAAGAAAATAAAGAGTGAGCCTTGACCTAAAAAATTTATTAAAAATATTGAAAATTTGGTTGCTATTATATAGCACTTTGAACAAGAACTAGGCTATGTAGAAAAGCCTACTTAATTTTTTTCAGTTATATAGTATTATCTATCATGATTAGAATCACATTAGGAAATCAATGACTGTAGATTAAAATTGTAGGCTAAGAATTAATGTGTTCATCCCCTTCCACTGAAAAGTCCTTGAAAACTGGCAAAAGGTAATTTTTAAATATTTTTTTGGGGCACCTGGGTGGCTCAGTTGGTTGAGCATCTGACTTCAGCTCAGGTCATGATCTCGCAGTCTGTGGGTTCAAGACCCGCATCGAGCTCTGTGCTGACAGCTCAGAGCCTGGAGCTTGCTTCAGATCCTATGTCTCCCTCTCTCTCTGCCCCTTCCCTGCTCATGCTCTGTCTCTCTCTGTCTCTCAAAATAAGTAAACGTTAAAGACTAAGAATTGTGAGACATAAATCAGAGGGGACCAAACTGACAGATGAATGTGAGCAGAAATGTAACCTGTAGCCAAAACATATGTGAGAGACAAGCCACTTGAAGAACAGATCCAGAGAAATTTGATGTTCAGAGTGAACAAGTAAAATAGCAGTAGGATGCTCTAGGTAATTAGCAGGTGATTAAGTAATTACGGTAAGGAACTGTGGATGAATTAGCATGAAAAACATAAACTGAAATGGCTCTAGAAAAAATCATCCATAAGAGAACTGCTTAAAATTTGGGGGGATAAAGCATCTATAATAGAACAGGCTGCTATAGAAAAGAATAGGGTGGGGCACCTGGTGGCTCTATTGGTTAAGTGTCTGACTCTTGATTTCAGCTCGGGTCATGATCTCATGGTTTGTGAGTTCGAGCCCCAGCTCTGTGCTAACAGTGTGGAGCCTGCTTGGGATTCTCTCTCTCTCTCTCTCTCTCTCTCTCTCTCTCTCTGCCCCTCCACCATTTGTGCTGTGTGTGTGTGTGTGTGTGTGTGTCTGTCTGTCTGTCTGTCTCAAAATAAATAAATAAACTAAAAAAAGAGAAAGGAATAGGATAACACTTTAGAGTAAAAATAAAAATAATTAGTGAAATAAAATATTCACTAAATGCTCTGAGAAACCAAATGGATATGGCAGCAGATCAAATTAGCAATGTGAGGTTAATATTGAGGAAATCTCTTAGAATAATAGAATTTAAAAAAAATTTTTTTTAATGTTTTATTTATTTCTAGGAGAGAGAGAGACAGCGTGAGCAGGGGGGGGTCAGAGAGAGAGGGAGACACAGAATCCGAAACAGGATTCAGGCTCTGAGCTGGCAGTCAGCACAGAGCCCGACGCGGGGCTCAAACCCACGAACCACGAGATCATGACCTAAGCGAAAGTCGGATGCTTAACCGACTAAGCCACCCAGGTGCCCCAGAATAATAGAATTTTTAAATGGAGATGTAAAATATGAGAGAAAAAAAATTAAAAGTCATGGAGGATCAACTCAAAATGTCCAGTGTTTAAGTAATCAAGGTTCCAGAGGGCTGAACAGAGAATGGAAGAGAAAAGATAATGGAGGAATTAAGAGAAGAAAATTTCCCAGAAGTGAAGAAAGAACTGAATCTTCAGGTCAAAAGAGCTAATGAAGTGGCAGGCAGATGGATGATGCAGCTAAGGTCTTTGCTGACATCAGTCACTGAACAGTCACAATAGCCAGGACTGCCCACCTCTTGACTTCTTATTTGAGTTTTATGTTTACTATTTGTCTGGGTCTTTGCTGAAAGCATACTTGGCTGAAACAGTCTCATTCATAATAACAATATAAAAATATAAGTGCCCAGAATTATACTTAAAACCTGCATAAAGAAAATTGTAAGAGAGGACTTGAGTAAATAGAATAACTTATCATGTTCCTAGACAAGAGGCCCAATACTGCCCAAAAGTTTACCCCAAATTAAGTTTTAAATTCAATACAATCTCAATCAAATCCTAAATAGAATTTTAAAATAGAACTTAATGGGGTGCCTGGGTGGCTCAGTCAGTTGAGTGTCCAACTTTGGCTCAGGTCATGATCTCACAGTTCGTGGGTTCAGGTCCCACGTTGGGCCCTGTGCTGACAGCTCAGAGCCTGGAACTTGCTTAGGATTCTCTCTCTCTCTCTCTCTCTCTCTCAATCTCTGCCCTTTCCCTGCTCTGCTCTATCTCTGTCTCAAAAATAAATAAACATTAAAATAGAACTTAACAAGCTGACTCTTAATTTTATTTGGAAAAGAAAGCTTTCAAGAATAGCCAAAAAAATTTTTTTAAAGATGACTGGGGTCAGGGAAAGGGAATTTGTCCTGCTGCATATCAAAGTATATCATAAGGGTTATAATAACCCAAAGTGTGGTAGGGGTCCAAGGTTAGACAAAGAGATCAATAGAATAGAATAAAAGAATCTATGAATAAACCCCTTATATATGAAAATAATTTTAACAATAAAGATTGCACTTCCAAATAGAGCAAAAAAGATGATGCTTGGTCAAGTAGCTATCTATTTTTAAGGAAAAATTATTTGATCTCTCCCTCCCTCACATTGCATAAAATAATTTCCAGACATACCTAAAAAAACTTAAAGTTGTAGAACAACCTATATATAAATATTGGAAAAAAATAAAGGATAAAATTTATGTAAGCCTCTGTAATGAAACTTAAAACCCAGAATTCATATCAGGAAATCTGGAGAGATCTGACCTCTTAAAAATTAACCAGGAAATTACAAATTAAAGTGACAAGGTTTTTGCTACAAATAGATTTAGAAGACAACTGACATAAAATATTTGCAACATATATATAAGATAAAGGATTAATATCCAGAATGTATGTAAGCACTTTTCCAATAAATATAAAAAAATAGAGTCCAATAGAAAATAGTCAAAGGAGGGGCGCCTGGGTGGCCCAGTTGGTTAAGCATACAGCTTCGGCTCAGGTCATGATCTCATGGTTGTTGAGTTCAAGCCCCACTTTGCGATCGGTGCTAACAGCTCAGAGCCTGGAACCTGCTTCAGATTCTGTGTCTCCCTCTTTCTCTGCCCCTCCCCTGCTCATGCTCTGGTTTTCTCTCTCTCTCTCTCTCAAAAATAAACATTAAAAACATTTAAAAAACTGAAAACAGTCAACGGATATAACAAGTGATTTATAAAATTACTATGAAAGAATAAATATCCTTTTTTTTGCCCACAGAGTGGGAAAGTAAAAGATTGATAACATTTTGTCTTGGTAAGCATGCAAAGAAACAAGCACTGTCACATACTGTTGGAAATTTGTAAAATAGCCAAGACTTTGTGGAGAGTACTGGCAAAATATATCAAAATTTAAAATGTATATACCCTTTGACTATCCAATTCTACCAATCTATTCTGCAGAGAAATTTCCATATTTGTATAAAGATGTATCTATAATGATGTTCATTGAAATACTTTTAAAATAATAACAAGACGGGAAACAACCTATATGTTTCATGAACAAGAGAATAGTCAAAGAAATTAGATATTACTGGATAGAATGCAGCCACCAAAAGAATATAGACCTATATGTACGAAGTGGAAATATGTCCAAAACATGTTATTAAAGGCAAAAAAGAAATAAAAAATACTTAGATCTTGATTCTACTATATAAAATGTTACATGCTGTTAAATATGTAAATGTGTAGAAAGAAGAATGAAAGCAAACCCACAATTTTTAATAGTGGATTTCTTCATGAAAGGGAGTGGTGCTGCAGATGAGGTGAAATAAAATGTTCATATTTATTATATATCTTTCAATATACTTTGAATATTTTTCAGTGAGACTGTAGCCATATATTACTCATATAACATATTTGCCTATAAAAATATTTAGGTATCATAATGACTTTTTTTGAAAATGAAGCCCTTCACAGAATAACCACTATATGTATGTTTATGTATAAATATACAATATAAACTTGACAATACATTATTAGACTTCTGTTAATTATTGTTTCTGTTCTCTTCTCATTTAAGGAATTCCAATTTTAAAAATACATCCATACCATTGTAATATACTCAAATTCAACGACATATTCTGGCAAAACAAGATCATGATCAAAGACAAACCACTTGTACTGCCGAATGCTGCAATCACAGTTCCTCTGTCCCATGACAGAATCTAGAGTAAAATCAATAACAAAACAAGAAAAAACACTCTTCAAAATGAAACATAATATATATTTTTCATTATTACACAGATTGATAAACAATACATTCAGTAAGTTTTAATCATTATGTTATTGAGATTTTTTTCTATTTTCCACCCCTCCTATATAGTTTCTTAATTCTTTTTATTTTTTCTGCAGGTTTTTTTTCACCCTTTAATTTTTAAGTTTTTAAAGTTGGAGATATAGTTTACACATAACATTGTATTTGCTTTAGGAGTACAACATAAGTTGATACATGTATATATTGAAAAATAATTATCACAATAATTATAGTTAACATCCATCACCAAGGATAGTTACAATTTTTTTCTTGTGATGAGAACTTTTAAGATTTACTCTCTTGGCAACTTTCAAATATGCAGTACAGTATTGCTAACTACAGTCATGCTGTACATTATAATCCCTAAGACTTTTTAAAATCTCAAAACTGGAAGTTTTTAACTTTTGACCACCCTCACCCATTTTGCCTACTAGTTTATTTATTTGAATATTTAGTATGGTTTAGGAAGGTGTGTATGAATGCCACATAGACAGGTGGATTGTGATGATTGATTTTATGTGTTTACTTGTCCAGACTATGGTGTCTAGTTGTTTGGTGAAACAGCAGTCTAGACCTTGCTACTAAAGTAATTTTAGATGTAATTAAAATTTAAATTAGTAGACTTTGAATAAAGTGACCAGTTTCTTAATTCTAGAAATTACTAGTCACCCTTTCAATACATAGACTAGTAGGGTTTCATTTTATCCATCATATCCTTTTCATACTTTGTCTTTTTCCTATTCAATGTGTGGCCATATACTTTTGACAAATGTATTACTCAAAAACCTTTGTTGTTAAAAGTGAGTGGGTTTTGGGATGCCTGGGTGGCTCAGTTGGTTAAGTCTCCAACTCTTGGTTTTGGCTCAGATCATGATCCAAGGGTGACCATGACCATGATCCTTGGATCATGATCTGAGCCCCACATTAGGCTCCACATTGAGTGTGGAGCTTGCTTAAGATTCTCTCTCCCCCTTTCTCTCTCTTCCCCTTTCCTGCTCATGCTTGCTCTCTCTCTCAAAAAAAAAGGATGGGTTTATCTCTTGAAATACATATAAATACATGAAATACATAGAATATACATGCAATATATATTATAAATGAAATACATGTGATATATGTATCATATCATATATGTGTATATAATATTCATATAACATATAAAATACATATATAGTATATGTATAAAATGCATGAAATTTCATATAAAAATATGCATGGGTGTGTAAATATAAAATAGAAGTTTACAAGGGTGACCTTGGTGGCTCAGTCGGTTAAGCACCCAACTTTCAACTTCAGCTTAGGTCAAGATCCCAGGGTCCAGCCCCATATCAGGCTCCAGGGTGAGCATGGAACCTGCTTAAGATTCTCTCTGTTCCCCTCCCTCTGCCCCTCTCCTCTGCTCATGTTCTCCCTCTCAAAGAAAAAAGTTCACAAAATTAAAAATCTACACACATACATAATGTCATTGAAGCAGGGAACATAAAAATAGAAGTTCATTAGTAGCCAGCAATAGATTTTTTTAGAAAAGTTTACAAGCTTTGTTAGGTAGAGTTTAAGCTCTCTACATCTATTCAGGAAAATTAAAGCACATTTCTCTTTTTATGGCAGACATACTTAGTAAATACTTTCGAGGAATGAACACTGAATTAACCATTGGATAGTTAGCTTGATTGATGGAGTCCTGTTCATGAGCCTGAACACTCTGGCCAAGGAAAACCTTTGTAATGAGCAGGATGCCTAAATATGAATAAAAAATCATTTTAACAATAATTCATTTTAGTAATTTTCCCATATCACCTTCCTTATTAGTCCCAGACTTGACTATATGTTCTGTAAGAAGCGCGGAGATCCTTGCTACCTTGTTTGTCATTGTAGAGCAAAACAGAAGCTCAGTAAATATTTGTTGAACAAATGAAATAATTATAAAAGAGGATTCCTGTGATTAAAGCAAAGCTTTACAGAAAAGGAAGACGGAAAGAAAATAATGTTTTTTATTAAGCAATTTAAAGTAAGAAACTTTCTGTTGTTGTTATTAACAGGGTAAAAATTCATCTCTGAATTATCATCACCTGGCACATCACTTAGATCATGGGAGGCACTTAATACATGTCTACTAAACGGATAAACATTTTTTCCCTTTAGATTCCTAAAGAACCTTTGCATTCCCTCAATCCTAAGGAGCTCTAGGAGTCACTGAATCATGTAATGTGACTTGTAATCACTAGGCAAAACATTCAGGTGACTTTTTTTTAATACTATGTGCAAGTTATAAAATGCAAGTTGATAGAATCTAATTGTTTTGGGAAGCATTTCAGAAGAATCTAGAAAAACATGATGAGGTGTTTCTTAAGACAAGAATGGAGAAGCATGAGAGAAAAGAAGCAAAGGGTTTTTTAAATAAGGAGTTCTTTCTATATTCAATAATATGCTTAATTTTCTGATTATTATTAACTGAATGAAAGACTGTAAGACACATGTAGTTCAACATGAATAATCTTAGCAGAGCTGTAGTCTGGAACCTAGAATTTCACTCTTAGAGACTTAAATTAACCAAATTTCTGACTGCCCAGTCTTCAGTAGCTTGTATAGTGGAGACCAAAGAATAGGTGTCCCTTACTCCCTGACCAGGTCAGTTCTCCTTATTATATATTTTTTGGTAATATTCACTAATATTTAATCTCTGTTATAAAATTGTTATGTTATGAAAATTGTAATTTTACATTTATTTGTGTGATTATTAATGTTTGTCAGTACCATAAAGGAGCAACTGTGTCTAGTTTGCATAGACTGTATCCATATTGCTACCAAGTGCCTAACATACAGTGAACATTTCATAACACTGGTGGGACTGACGTATGGACAGTGGGAGGGCGAGGCAAGAGGACCTGATGAGCTGAACTCTTCCTCAATTTATGAGGGAACTTCTCCCGGAAGTGTCCTGCAAATTGGCTCGTATGCTTTTATTTATCTATATATTTAAGATGCAAATAAACTACTGATCATTTGAATAAAGTACCAAAAGTTTATCCTCTGTGAGGCAATTTATAAAGAAATCTATACCCTACACAGTTTGTCTTTAGCCAGTTTTAAATTTACAACCAGCTTTTCTTATCTTCTATTAAAACGATTAAGGACACATAAGGCATGCCTTCCCAAGTGCTTGGTATAATGATTACTGCATAATTGCGCCAAGTTCTCTTTTCTCTTTCCTGTGAATTTGGGGTGGTGTGTGTGTGTGTAAAACACAGATATATTGAGTTTATTTTTAGGATGCAAATTAATGAACAAAAGCAGTCAGAGAGGAGCTAAGTTGGCCATGCAGTAGGAAGACCCTAGGCTCAGGTTGGCCCTTGAATGAACAAAACCAGACTTTGAAAAGTGCCTGTTTCATATAAACTGGAATAAATATGAGTAACAGGGGCGCCTGGAGGGCCCAGTCGGTTAAGCCTCCGACTTCGGCTCAGGTCATGATCTCAAGGTTTGTGGATTTGAGCCCTGCATCAGGCTCTGTGCTAACAGCTAGTTCAGAGCCTGGAGCCTATCTTCAGATTCTGTGTCTCCCTTTCTCTCTGACCCTTCCCTGCTCACTCTGTCTCTCTCTCTTTCAAAAATAAATAAAACATTAACACATTCTTATCTATAAGCTTGTTTCTGTTTGTGATTAATTGTTTTAGATATTTAGGTGCTCCCATATTCGGTGCGTAGACATTTATGATTGTTAGTTCTTCCTGATGGATGGACCCTGTAATTATTATGTAGTGCCCTTCTTCATCTCTTGTGATTGTCTTTAATTTAAA